CACGGGTGCTCCTTGCTCACGGGTACCACTGTATGTTTAGTGTGGAGAATACAGCCATTCTTATGAAAAGAGCAGGCGAATGCTGCCTTAAGTCACGTGATGTGTAGGAGAAGGGCTGTTGACTGTCCTTATTCCCAATCTTCTTTGTGGGAATCATTTAGAACATTATATTTACATGGGCAAATATGTGATTCTGACTGTAGAGGCAGTAAGCTAGCTCCATACATTCAACTCTGTAGGTTCTTTGAAGAGAGGGATTTTGTACTATTAGGTCATGGAGTCCCTGTTCCTAGCATAGAATGTGTCAGGAATGCTGGTTTGTTCTACTGAAATCCATAAAAGAAACAAGCACAGTGAGTACCTTTTTTGTTGTTGTCATTGATATGTTATCATATATATCATATATATCATATGATATCATATCATTGATATGATATCATATGATATATGATATCTCCTTAGTGCCTAAAGAGACTTCTTTTTGTAATTGAGCAAACCAATGTTAAGCTCTGTTTTGGAAATCAAAACAAGAAATGTAGTCTTGGGCTTTCGTATGCAGGACTTCTTGACATTCACTCTGTTTCTGCCTATATATTGCCCCCAACACTTGGGATTTTAGTTGTTGCTGTTGGTGTTGTTTTGCAAACATTTGTTTCCTGCCCTGTAAAATAGAATTACCCTTCTTTGGTTTTGTGCTTCACCTTTAGTTTTGGGGAAATCAGCATTGCTGAAAAGAAAATGGGATGTATTTGGGAAGGAGAGAGGGAAATAAGGTACGTACCCTAGCCTTCTTCCCTTATAAGGAGGACTGACAGGATGGAAAGTAGTTAAAGCCTTACCAGATGGTTTCTTCCGAGTTTTGATTTTACCAAAACTTAAACCCAAACATATCGGGTGAATTTCTTCTTCTCGGTCTTCTGGATTTGGGGACAGAGGGATTCCTGACCTACCCAGGTTGAATTAAGGGGAGAGGGAGGGCTGTTTGTCTCACTGCTGTGGTCTCCAGGATACCTTTTTTAGTCCTTTGTATTCTTAGAAACAAAGTCACCTCTTGGCAGGAATAAAGGCACCCAGATGCCAGCAGTCAGGGTTTGGTTTCACGTCACCAGCCTCGGGGAGGCAGTGCCCGGTTTCCTTTGGCAAAGACAGCCTGCCCTTCTCAGTTCATTTCAGCCACTCGGGCACAAAGGTAACGTCCTCAAAATAGAAACCTTTGAAGACTCCTGTCGGCTGCATCTCTGAATCCTTATGTTTATCCTGAATTCTAATCTAACTTCTTAGAATTTTGGAAATGCTAGTTAATTCCTCCCTCCCCCCCTTTTTTTTTCTCAAATCAGCTTTCAGAAAACGTGGATCTGAGTGAGAAGGGTCAAGGCACTTTCTGCCAGAGACAGTGTGGTTGACATTTGCGGCAGATGCACAGGCTGGGTTGCTGACAGGTCCAAGTTTTATTCTTAACTCCAGGACTATTCCCGGAAGTGTGACCTCAGGCAACTCTGTACATTTCTGAACTTCCATTTCCCCATGTGTAATGACTTCAGTAAAATGTCCCTACGGTGTCATTGCGAGGCCAGGATTACCCGAGGTCACGTAGATAGAAAGCACATTACACAGAGCCGTGAGTGGGCACGGCTCTTCTCCTTCCTTTGGGCCCAGGAGAGGCCCACAGCCCGAGAAGCTTGTTAGGAGAGGGTCAGGACCAAGGCTTTGAACAGTCACGTGGCTTCACAACTTGCTTCTAGCTCCTGGCTTACTTGTGTTTGTGTTTTCTTTGCTAGGCGGGAGGGGTAGCTAACGCAGGAAGTTCTTCTCTTCTCCCCCAGGATCTAGTAATCTCACGTAATAATAAACCACGACAGTAGTAACCTTAGCAGCTACGATTCATCCAACACTTCTTAGATGCCAGGCCCTCCGCCGAGCACCCTCCACGCCTTATTCCCTCCCCCCCAAGTCCTGTTGTGAATTGTACATTCTGTGTCCCCATTGCTCATATGAGCAAAACTGAGATTGCAAGTTCCCCTCGGGCTCCAGCGCATTTGTGCCTGGCACTCGGCACTTTGGTTTTCAGCCATATCTTCAGGCCCCAGGTAAGGTGGGGTAAATACTGCCCGCCCTTTGCCTTTCTGTCCTCTTGACACATAGAGGTCCTGCATTCCAGCAGGACACTGCAGGGGCCTTTGGATGTCGGGAGCAAAAAAGACCACAAGGCTCGGCTTCTCCCCTCCATCCCCAGCTCTGCCTGCCTGTCGGCAGCTGCCAAGGAGGAGGAGCTGAGAGCATGATAGTCAACAGACAGACGGGCCACAGGTGGCCCCATAGCTCTGCTCATGTTGACTCCCAGGCCATAAACTCCCTGCCTGCAGGTGGCACAGGACGGAAATGGAACCTCCCAGACGGGGTTGGGTGGTGCTGGGAGCTTGCTGCCGGCAGAGGTTGGTAATAAGTGTTGGGTGGATGGACATGCAGAAGGCCCGTCATCTGGATGATGAAAGAACAACGCCCTCTGCCCGCAGTTCCCAGAATGGTGGGGAAGCGGAGAAGGGGCAAGGGAGCTAGACACGGACACACACTACTCGTTCATCTTTGCCTCTCTGGCTGCCTTTACACCAGCGTCTGTGTCCCTAACTTGGCCGGTGTTGTTTTTTCTCCTACCCACTAATGAGAATGGAAGCTCGTTAGCAGGAGTGCCTCGTGCATTTCTGTGGGCTTTCGTTGGCTTGTAATTGAAAAGATGATGTGACAGCAACATTTGGAAACATTTATAAAAAGATCAGGGGCCTTCCATTGTACCCCATAATCTTAGCTCCCCAACCTGGCAATGGCTTTGACTTTATTTTAAAAATTATCTTCCCTTACAGGCAGACTCTGTCCCTGCAGAGTGGTTCCCAGCCCTTCATCTCCCCTGGAAGCTAGCAGCTAGCTGGGCAGGGGCTGGATCCGTGCCAGAGCTTCACAGGTTCCCCTTTTCCATTTCACCTGATACCTCTTAGAGATTTTGAAGCTCTGATAGAAATACCACTCTGATGGTTGAGCAGGAGAGGGGTTCAGCCCTCTCCCAGAAGATGCCAGGCTCTGGCCACCATCCCCGGGTGTCCGGTACCATGGACAACTGACATTGGATGGGATTTTGAGCCTCCTGCCCATTGGCCCTGTGGCCAGAGATCTCGTGTCTATGTAGCAAGTCATAGATTTAAACCAGCATTTCTTCAGGATACATCTAGAGGCTTTTGTGACCACAACGAGTGGAAACTTCAGGTTATACCAAGTTAAGAACTTTTTTTAAAAAGAGATTTCATTTATTTATTTGCCAGAGAGAGAGAAAGAGCAGGAGCAGGAGAGCAGCAGAAACAGGTTCCCCACTGAGCAGGGAGCCTGATGCGGGGCTCAGTCCGAGGACCCTGGGATCATGACCTGAGCTGAAGGCAGACACTTAACAACTGACTGAGGCACCCAGGAGCCCAAGAAATGTTTTTTAACTATGCTGAAAGAAGGGGGGTTTTACAAAGCAATAATAATAGCCAACGTTTATGATTTGCTGTTCGTTGAACCTGTGAACTCTCGTTAGCTCTTTATATGAAGTTATTCATGTAAACCCCGTACCATCCCTAGGAGGCAGAGGCCAGCACGTTCCCCATTTTACAGACGGTGGGGGTAGGGGGCGGCGGTGGCACTTGCCCAGTGTCTTAGCTAATTTTCAGTGGGTACAAAGTTTTGTGCTCGAACAGGCTGTGTCCAAACCCCAAACTCTTACCCAGGACACAGTACGCTCCTGGTAGGCGGCTTTGAGCAAGCCGCCTTTTACTTGGGACTTCTCATTTCTAATGACATTAGTACTCTGAAGGACTCTAGTTGCAGAAATAGCCACTTAAACTTGAAAAGCAAATAGGGACTGCCAGGTAAGTAGGGACATGGAATGTCTCACATGAGCCCTATTGGGTTCTGAGCTTCCCACAACTCTCAGATGTCCTTGTGTCTCATTAGGTTGGTGTTATAATCTTCTTAGCCTGACAGGCAGGCATGGAGGGTCTGGAGTAGAAAGTTTAGGCCAGCAGTTCTCAAACTTGGCTGCATACTAGAATTCCTTTTATGCCCATTAAAAATTACTGATGCCTGGCCTCATTTTCTAGGATTCCCCTGTAGTCTGGATGGCCCCAGGGATTCGTGACTTTTTAAATGTTCCTTGAGAACCATTGGTTTGGATAACTGCTTTGTGGTCTAGTTAACCATGTTTTATACCAAAGCAAGGAGAAAAAAGGGTCTCTTTCATAAGTTATATGACTTAACCGGGTTTTGGTTGATTGGCTGGTTGGTTGGTTGGTTGGTTGGTTGGTTTGCGAATGAGTGACCTGTGTTCTCTGATTAACAGCCCCATGTGACCTTGAATCCTCTCCATGATCTCTTCTCCTGACCCTACCTTGGCACTGACAGCCACGTACTGACCAGCCCCTATGCAGGAGCTCTACACTGGTTACTAAGGGGACTGGTGAGAGAGAGGATCAGCACTCTGACTCCTGTTGAAGGAAGTAGGTGGCTACCATTGCCCAGAGCACTGCGTCCGTGCTGTTGCTGGGCGAGCCGGAGCAAGAAGTACATTCTGGATGACGATGTTCGTTGACTGACCACACACATACTCCTCGTTGGGCTGAGCTGTGAATATTGGGCTCCAAAGGTTTTTGCTGTCATTTTCAGTTGAGTCAGGCGAAACTGGGTGAATAGAAGAGTTTCTTGGTTTGGTAGTCAGGTAACTTCAGTTGTATTTACTACTCTATGAAAATCCTTTTTGAGCCAAAGTAGATACCCCTGTCAATAAAAGACAATGATGCTTTTAACTCTATAATGGTTTTTCTTAACATCTTCATCTTTTCAAAGGCACAGATTGTAGGCATTTAAGGTGTAAGTCCGGGATTTCGAGATCGCTGCCCCGCCTCCACCTCAAGACGGATGTGCCCCAGGTTGACCAGAGGGTTTGTAATGGGAATGTTTCTGTTGGTTTCTTACAGTACAACAAACACCTCTTCGTGCACATTGGGCATGCCAACCACTCTTACAGTGACCCATTGCTCGAATCAGTGGACATTCGTCAGATCTATGACAAATTTCCTGAAAAGAAGGGTGGCTTAAAGGAACTGTTTGGAAAAGGCCCCCAAAATGCCTTCTTCCTCGTAAAATTCTGGGTGAGTAAGACATTGCTGTGGTGGCGGTGGGTTTCGTCCAGATGGGCGCCTCCCATAGATGAGTGCGGAGCAGCGCGGCTGGTTGTGGGGTGTTTGCTGACTGCACCTGGGGGGCTGTCCCCAGGCTGGCCTTGTGGTCCCCTCTTGGGTCCAGACACACCCAGGCAGAATGTGGTGTCCCTGCCCGAGAGCAGGAGAGACGAGAGGCCTCTCTGGGCTTCTGGGCTCACTCAGGCAATGGCTGGAGACTTCACAGATGGCTGCGGTTGTGATGGAAAACAGGGCAGACCCTCCTTCTGTTCTCACTCCATTAAGCAAAGCCACCTAGAAATTCCACTGGAGCCCAGGACCTGAGGTGGACTGGGGCTGCGATGGAAATAAGGTTTCACGCTTCCAGATTTTGTAAGTGGTAGAGAGAATACAAAATGGCTTCACCCAGTATGTGCTTTATTTGGGCTTTAAAACAGCAAGGGCGGATTTCCCCAGCTGCGGGGGCTTGCTGCTGTCCCACGGCCTCTGAGAGGAGCTTTTCTCTTTCTCCACTAGTCACCGTCAGACCAGGGGAGAGCCAACAGGTCACAGGCGTGAGTGTGATTTGTGTGTATGGGAGGTGAAGACACCAAGGCAGCCAGACACCAGAGGACCTTTTAGCAACGACCCTTCATAAGGCTTCAGTCTCTAGAAAAATGAAAAGCTCTTCCAATGTTTATGCGCCTGAGCATGGCATTCAGGACCCCAAGCGAGCAGGTGGCAGGGTGTTTTCCTCACCAGCTGCCCTGTGCCCAGCTGCTCTGTGTGTCTGATGGACCTCTTACTGTTTTTTCTCTCCCTTGGGGCCAGCTCCTCCCTCCTTTGGGATGGTGGCTCCCATATCATGGCACCTTCCCCCCCTTACACAGACCATCAATTTTCATCTTACTCCCAGTGTATTTTATAATTAATCAGTTCCCATGCTGGGTCACGATCACTTGGATGTGTTTCCCGCTCTCCTCTGGACCCATCCTGCCTCCAGGGTACCCTACTCCTAAGAGTGGCTCCCACTTACTGAATGCCTGCTGGGGGTTGGGGGCCGTGCTCAGGCTTTCCACTTCCACGCACTTCTCCGGTCCTCACAGTGGTAAGTGGAATTGACCTCAGGTCCAGCTAAGAAAACAGAGACTCCGAAATGGGCCCTGGGCCTTGTAATTAGATTAGGTTTGGTGGTAGTGCCTCTGCTGTCTTTCCTGGCTGCTTTACACCCTGTGAACCCCAGCTACTGGGAAGGGTGGGGAGGATCTGTCCACAGAAGAAACTTCACTTCTCCAATAATGAGCCAACGCCTTGTATAAGAAAACCCAACAAATGGGGAAACAAGTGGATAAATTAAGGAAAAATACATGTTTTAAATTTCTTGGAGAACTTCCCTAGGAAATCTAGTATGTTTAGTGTCTTGTATCCTTATGTGGTAACTAGATTCCATTTTTCATGGTTCTGTATTGAATTTGGGTTGTGGAACTAGCCTTCTACTTACATTAAGGTTCTTGGGATGCATCATACATGTGGATAACCTGAACAAGCAGTAATACCTTTCTAAATTGGGTGCTGACCCTCATGATTTGAACGGTGGTTGGAGGTCAGTTATTATGTGGTAACACGGCAGTTTTCAAAGTATGGCCTGGGGACCCCTAGGAAGTTCACCAGTAGCCTTGCAAGGGGCTGAGAAGGCCGGAGCGATTTTCACTACGACACTGAGACATTATTTGGCCCGTGCCAACTGCCGATACGCATGCTTGAGGGTGAAACCCCTGAGACTTTGGCTTAATCAGTGGGTGCACACACACGATTTAAAGAAAGAGAGAGAGAGAACTAGTTACACCAAGAACATCCTTTGTCTTGGACCTAGAGGCCACATTGCAAATGAATGCCTTGAGCCTGCCGGCCTGCCCCTTCTCGAAAAGGAACTGACTCTATTTATGGCCAAAGAGAAGATTCCAGCTTTCTAGTAAAAATAAGAATTTTTGGAAAGCTCCTGTCCACCTCCATGAACTTGACAGCTTCTCAATACTTAACAGCCTTTTCTAGTGGCATCCACAGCCATATTAACAAAAGTTATTATTATTATTATTATTATTATTATTATTATTATTTTGGTATTATGTAAGATAAACCTGTGGTTTTTCATGTAATAGCATTTGTAAAGTTCATTGATACAGTTTCAGATTCCACACTGCAGCTAACTTTTTAGAAAGATTTTTATTTATTTATTTGAGAGAGAGCAGGAGCAAGGGGAAAGGCAGAGGGCGAGAGAGAAGAGAGAGAGAAGAGAGAGAAGCAGACGCCCACTGAGCAGGGAGCCCGATGGGGGACTCCATCCCAGGACCCCAGGATCATGACCTGAGCCGAAGGCAGATGCTTGACGGACTGAGCTATGCAGGTGCCCCAACACTCAGCCGATTTGTTTTAGTGTAGTATCAAAGAAAAATGACCACAGTTATCTAAAGAGGCTATGAAAATACTCTTGCCTTTTCTAGCTCCTGATTTATGTCAGGCTGAATTTTCTTCGTGTACTTCAACCAAAACAGTGCATCATGACAGAAGCATGTGTGAGAATCCAAGTGTTTTCCTGAAAGGCACACATTAAATATATCTCCCAAGGGTAGAACAGTACTACTCTTCCAATTTTTCTTTTGTTTTTTGACAGCCTAGGTATGTCTAATTTTAAGAAAAGATGTAGTTTATTTTTTTAAGTAGGAAATAAATATGTTTAAAATGCTCTCCGTTTAAATTTCCAATACAGAAAGTCTAGATAGATATAACCTGCAGAAACAAAAGCTCTTTGAGGTGCTCAGTGGATTTTTAAGAGCAGAAAGGGGTCCTGAGATGAAAAAGTTTGAAAGCCACTGTTGTGAAGGATAGAAAAAGAAGCCGTTCTACTCAGGTTAATTGTAATTAATCAGAAATGGTTGGATATGATGAAAAGAAACTATTTTCAGTATTTTCAAATGAAACGGTATTGTTTTTAATAATAAGATTTCTTATAATGGGCATGTTATTTGGATATAAAGTGGAATGGAAAGTCTTTAGCAAGTTGGTCTTGTTTTTGCTGCCAAAATTTCCCATTTGGCTTGGGATGATTTTAATAAATGTTTTCAGGGATGGGGGCTTTGGTCATGGGTCCCCAAGTAATGAAGTCTAGATTGAGGATGTGTAGAGTGTGGTGCCTGGTGTGAAAGGGCCACATTTGGAAACAGTTGCTCTGAGATTAGATATAAATTTATTAAATTAACATTTGCAGGATTAAAATTGAGCACTTCTATGAATTATGTTGGAAGACTTCACACCTTCTGTATAATTATAAGCAGTACTTAACCTTATAAAGACATTCAGTCTCAATAATGTTAGATGAGGAAAGGCCATTTGTTTTTTTTTTGTTGTTGTTGTTTTTTAAAGATTTTATTTATTTATTTGACAGAGAGAGATCACAAGCAGGCAGAGAGGCAGGTAGAGAGAGAGGAGGAAGCAGGCTCCCTGCTGAGCAGAGAGCCCGATGGCGGGGCTCAATCCCAGGACCCTGAGATCATGACCTGAGCCGAAGGCAGCGGCTTAACCCACTGAGCCACCCAGGCGCCCCAGGAAAGGCCATTTGAATTAGGTTTATAATTTGCGGCAATTTGAAGTCTCATTGGCTTCCTCTAATGCCTCAGTGAGAATAAATTATACTTAGAATATCTATCCTTGGATATCAGGAACGGATGTTTCTTAAGCAGGTCCAACACTTCCTTTGAAATATTTTGTGTATCAGCAATTTGCTTAGCAGATTTTCTTGGTTTTGTGTGAATTCAGTAAATTTCAACAGAGATCCTACACCCGATCTTTATCCTCCCCCCTTTTGCCCTCTGTCTCAAAGTGCCTGGAGTCTCTAGGTTGTCAAAATCGGGCTGACTCTTGCTTTGCCCATAGGATTGCTCCCAAAAACTGTTTTCAGAACAGCAGCCACGTGCAGCCTGGGCTCAGTCGGGGTAGACAAGTCAGGAGTTTGCTGTGGAGGAAGTACTAAGTGCAACCCCGAGTGAGTGTCTGTACCTCGAGGTAAACGGCATGCCGGCACCAGGTAGCAGTCACTCCGCTGTTCTCAGGGTGGGGGATCCCAGCTGGCCTCCAGGGACTCAGGCCCCAAGACGGAAATGACATGCAGAGGCAAGGATGCCAGTTGGTGCCCCCTACCCTGTTAGCCTTGTCGTCTCTCATACCTTAATGATGGGGGACACACAAAGGCCCCTGTGGATGGCTATGTATCTGGTGAGATACTTTTTTTTTTTTTTAGTAAGAGCCTTACTGAGGTATAATTTGCAAACCATTAAAATTTGCACCTTAAAATTCAGTAATTTTAGGGGCACCTGGGTAGCCCAGCCATGATCCTGGGGTCCTAGGATTGAGCCCCGTGTCAGGAAGCCTGCTTCTCCCTTTCCCATTCCCCTTGCTTGTGTTCCTTCTCTTGCTGTCTCTCTGTCAAATAGATAAATAAAATCTTAAAAAAAAAAAAAAATTCAGTGATTTTTTTTTCTAGAAAAATTTATAGAGTTGTATAACCATCACTGTAATCAAATTTAGAATATTTGTGTCATTCCAAAAAAGATCCGTTGTGCCTGTTTGCAAGCAATCCCTGTTCCCACTCCCAGCCCCAGACAACTACTAATCTACTTTCTGTCTGTACAGATTGGCCTTTTCTGGATATTTCATGTGAGTAGACTTCTTTAGGGTGTAGTTATTTGTACCTGGCTTCTTCCCTTGCATTCCTTTTGAGGGGCATTTATGTCACAGCGTGTCACTGGTTAGCTCTTCACTGTCGCCTAGGACCAGCCCGTCATACGGACATACCACAGTTTTGCTCATCCATTCACTAGTTGATACACTTGAGGCTTTGATCGAGTAACTAGTAGTTGATACTAGTTTCTCCACTTGAGGCTTTGATCGAGTAATGCTGCTCTGAAGTCTGTGTACAAGTCTGTGTGTGGACCTAT